AAAAAAAAAAAAAGAAGAGAGACTATTATTCGCCACTGCCTATAGCAGCTAAGAAGATGCAAATGCCAAAGTGTTTCCCAGCATTGCTTTGATTGTTGTGCAAAGCAACATCCCATTTATGAGATAGTTGCTAATGTTTATATGAAAAATAAATATGCCTCCCCAAATCTCCCAATCTATGTGAACTTTCTTGCATGAAAGTCCTAGAACAGCTGTATACTTGTCCTGATACATACATATATATATATATATATTAAAAAAAATCAAAGGTCTCTCAGGAAATTCATGTTTTCTTTTAATAATCAGTCACTGATATTTCTGAGAGAATATTTTTAGACCACAGAGYATGTCAAGGCCAAGTCTGCTGACTCCATTCCAGAGTCAACCCTATCTCCTCTGACATTCTCAAGCCAAATTATCACATCTCTTATTTTTTTCAGGCCACATCCTTCTTTTCTGCGGTCGAAGTCCCAGCCAGCCAGATGCTCAGAAATAAAAGCTTTCTGTTCTTTGAGCCTCTGGCCTGAAAAAAAGACTTTGCTCTTGCAGAAAGGGGTGACAAGAAGTGAGGAATGGAGGGAACGTGAAGCAAGCATTATTTATGGCTCTAAGTTAGGGAAGATGGGTAACAAAAATGAGCAGAGCAGCATGAGGATGTGATCTCCAAGCCAGGGGAAAGCGGGTGGGCAATGTGGTCTACCAGAGATTCTGGGTGAGAATGGGAAAAAGAAACCATATCCTGGGACCTTGCAATCAGAGAGCATGCTTGAAGGACACCTAAGATAGTCAGGGTTCTTCAGGGGCTAAATCCAGGATGGCTGCCTATGAACTCCAGGGTTTATCCAAGGAGTATTTACCCAGAGTGCTAATAACGTAAAGAAGCATCGACGCACTTTTCGCTAATAATTAGATCATCATGGAGCAGGAGAAGGAGAGTCTGCTTACAGATCAGCAAATGTATGCACRTCAGTCATCAGTCATATTCAAATAAAATTAAACCATTATGGATTTACATAGTGATTKGCTTACTATTACAAAGCTAACAAGCAGCCCTTTCCTTAAAGATGCATTTCATTTTTTTCTCAGAATGCTATTTCAGGTTAGCTTCTGGATTTCTAACTCACAGATAGTTCACTTTATGCCAGTATAAAATTACAGTGCAAATTATTTTGTGTCTGTTAAAATGGCACTGCAGTGTAAGAGAGCTGACTACAGCCACAACAATCTTAATTCAGGTCACCGAGGTCCTGAATTACTTAAATATGTCTGTACAGAAGCCTAATATTACCCAATGGAAGGGTTAACATCCTTTAAAAAAATTGTAAGTAGGTTTAATATCAAATAAAAGACGTATGTTTTATAAACATATCTGGAAGAGTCAAAGTGCCTGTGCTGATGTCTCATAAACAGCCATATATTCATTCGTAATGATTTCAGGAACAATGAATCTTGGTCTTGTATTGAAGCCATCCCTCATCTCATGCTAAGATGAACTATCTTGAATATGGCTTACGCTTACATTGCCCAACAACTGTGCCAGGCTTGTTACAAAAGTAAGACAAAGAAACAAAAAACCATAATTCTTGCTCTCACCGGCTTACAAATCTTTAAGAATGAGAAAAATGAGAGTAAAGACACAGCAGGAGAGCAACGGGTTAGTCTGAGCATCCCAAGCTATAGATTACTAAACATATGTGTGGAATATTAAGACACGGATACATAAACAAACCACTAAAGAATATTTTCTTGACGGGCTACTCACACAGCCTTATGAGTAGGTAGTCCTGTCCACCTCAGTGCTGCATCCCAGGAGCTACAGGAAAAAGGGGCGATCCTTCAGGGATGGTCCTAGCAGAATATAAAGGACTTTATAAATAATCATCTCAYGGAAAACAGAGATAAAACACACATGTTCACCCACAATGCTGCTTTAGTGAAACTATTAATATAGAATTAAAGAAAACAAATGACAATATAGAAACCAGTTGGGACTTTTCCTGATGGTAAATGGGACCTCCTTTTAATCATGTTTGTTTTATATAATGCTGGGGACCATTGAGCTGTTGGTAAAATCTTGAGTTGTTCAATTGTAATCTCACAGTCCAGACTGAATTTTTTCAGTTATTCTAAGAATTTAAATCATTGTATAAATTCTAAATATGTTTATGAAGTATTCTTACCTCATAAAAATGGCGKTTTTTTTCCTGTTTAAAGCCAAATTGTAGTGAAATAAGAGTACCAAGCAATGCTAAAACTGGAATACCTGAATCAGTAATCAGTTGTGCTGTATCATGATCCCTTATCTAACACCTAACCCAAACATCTTAACAGTACTTCAGCAACCCGACCTGCATATTGCTCTGTTTTTCTTTGAATATGGAAATGCTAGGGAGCTGCTGAATATTTTGTGTTAATTGCTCTCAAATATCTGCTGAATAACCTTTAGAGGAAGCATAAAATTGAAAGGGTATCTTTAATAGGGCTAGAAGGATGAGCCAGGAAATTACAGTCCAGTCAGCCTCACCTCCRTCCCTGGAAAGGAGATTAGAGCAGCTCATCCCAGAAACATCTGGGCATGTGAAGGAAAAGAAGGTGAGCAGGAGCAGTGAGCATGGATTCACCAAGCGGAAGTCATGCTTGACCAACCTCATRGCTTTCTATGATAGGATGACTGGTTGGATGGACAAGGGGAGAGCCATGGATGTTGTCTACCTTGACTTCAGCAAGGCTTTTGACACTGTCTCCCAGAACATTCTCATGGGGAAGCTCTGGAAGTGTGGGTTAGATGAGCAGACAGTGAGGTGCACTGAGAATTGCCTGGATCGCAGAGCTCAGRGGGTGGTAATAAACCTGTTCATCAAGGACTTGGATGAGGGCACAGAGGGCACCCTGACTAAGTTTGCAGATGACACCAACCTGGGTGGAGTGGCTGACACTCTGGAGTTGGGCAGAGAGGAACCTCATGAGGTTCAATAAGGACAAGTGCAGGGTCCTGCACCTGAGGAGGAATAACTCCCGGCATCAGGACAGACTAGGGGTCGACCTGCTGGAAAGCASCTCCACGGAGAGGGACCTGGGAGTCCTGGTTGACACCAAGTTAACCATGAGTCAGCAGTGTGCCCTCGTGGCCAAGAAGGCCAATGGGATCCTGGCCTGCATCAGGAGGAGTGTTGCCAGCAGGTCAAGAGAGGGGATCCTGCCCCTCTCCTCAGCTCTGGTGAGGCTGCACCTGGAGTACTGTGTGCAGTTCTGGGCTTCCCAGCATAAGAGAGCTTCTAGAGCTCTAGAGAGGGTCCAGCGGACATCAACAAAGATGATTAAGGGACTGGAGCATCTCTCGTACAAGGAGAGACTAAGCAAGTGGGGCCTGTTCGGCCTGGAGAAGAGAAGATTGAGGTCTTATCAATATGCACAAATGTCTGAGGGGAGAATGTAGGGAGGAAGGGGYCAAGCTCTTCTCCATGGTGGCTAGTGACAGGACAAGGGGCAATAGGTGTTAAGTTGAAACACAGGAGGTTCCATCTGCAYGTGAGGAGGAACTTCTTCACTGTGAGGGTGACAGAGCCCTGGCACAGGCTGCTCAGAGAAGTGGTGGAGCTTCCTTCTCTGGAGATCTTCAAACCGCCCCCCTGGATGTGACCCTGTGCCCCGTGCTCCGGGTGTCCCTGCTTGAGCCAGGGCGTTGGACTAGGTGATCTCTAGGGGTCCCTTCCAACCTCAACCATTCTGTGATTCTGTGAGTTTTCACCCCCCGCCCCAGATTTCTCTCTCACACATACTCATATATACACTCATCTGCTAACCTTCTGCAATCAGTGGCAAAATCTGTATTACTTTAAGTGGAAACTGAATTTCATTCCTAAAGGCTTAGACCTGCAGATGCCCAACCCAGCTGATTTCACTGAAAATAAAACCAATTTAAAGCTTCCAGTTAAGAAAAAAAAAAGACAAGCATTTCATGTGATAAAAAGATGAACAGGCAAGAAGAAAGCCAGAAGTCTTTTGTTGCTACAGTGAGAAATACTTTGAACTTTTTTTCTGGCTGGTCTTCATCTCACTAGAACCTTATCAATAAAATGATAACCATGTATTACAGAGTGCCTACTTACTGTTAACACACACTTATTCCTGCCAGTGCCAGTCTTACAGGAGACACTATCAGTTTGTAACTATAAATGAACAAAATTACCATCTGTATACTGAAGAACAGAATTGCATCCGTAATTATATCCCTTACACGTTATAAGTGCACATTTGTTTTAAATTTGGACTTATAACCTGTTTTTCAAATAACAGCTTCAGTCAGCTTCCAAGTCACTAAGGTAATGGCTGTAATAAGTAGTTATACCTCCTAATCAGGGAATGTCACAATAAGCACAGCGCATCTATCCATCTAATCCTTTTTGGCCCTGTTATTACGTTTTATGAGCAGTCTTGCCACCCATATGTTAGGCTGTCATGTTCTTCCAAAAGCTGGTTATTAGGATTAACTGGGGAAAGTGAAATATGAATGCCTGTACAAACGTGGCAGGGCTGAGGGCTGCTACCAGTAAGGCACCCCAGGTCAGAGGAAGATATTTAATGCAGTGCAGGACATGACACTAATTTCAGCAGGAAGCCCACAGGACTTTGGTATCTATGAGACTCACTGACTTGTTGCCCCTTTTGTCTTCATATGGAAAGCAACAGCTGAAAGTTTCTGTAACACTATCATGTACCATAAATCTTTGAAAAATAGTAGAGTCAATCTCTCTTCTCACTATCAACTTAAAGCCAGACACTCTTGTGATAATGTTATTCACATCATTAAGATCACTGTTCTGCTAAGCCTTTCTGACTTTAGCAATAAATCAAGATTCAGTGGGCTACCTCCATTAGGACAGAAAGTTCCCCATGAAATGATGTGTCTTTAGGTGCTGTACTTTGGTATAAAGCACAAGGGGTACACAATGGGGTGAGCTACCCAGGCAAAAAATACTACTGAAAGTGTTCAGAACCTGTTAAAAAGACAAATATAATCCTGTTACATATTAATACATATATAAGCCACAGGAGGCATTTATTTCCCCTCTACACCACTGAGGCCTCAGCTGGTACCTTGGATTTTGTTTCGGGTACTCTACTTGATGTGTTAAGATACTGGAGAGAATCCAGAGGGAAGTTCCTTAGGAGAGTTCCTAAAGCTTTGACCAGGAAGGAGAGACTGAAAGCTGTGGTTTCACGGCTGTGGTAAAAAGAGGAGACCTCATAAAAGATTTCTGAGAGGAAATACACTCTGGTGAATGATCATTTTTTTTCCATATCAAAACAAAAAGTAATTGGTTTAACTTGAAAAACAAAGAGGTTTCTACGTCTCTAATTAGGTTCAATATGAGGAAAGACCTTCTAACTAAGCAGGCCACTGCAAATGGAAATCAATTACTACACACAGTCCCTTTCAGTGGAGATTTTAAAGAAAACATCCCGTAAGCGATAATCTAACGATAATTAACCCTGCATCTTAGCAGAACCAGGCGCCCTTTAGAGATTCCTTCCAGTGGGAACAGCACTAACACTGTGGCAGCCCACAGGGCAGAGGGAAACACCTCATCCTCGCCTCACCTCACCCTCACATCACTTGCAGGCAAGTCTTGTGTCTGAGCCCGTGAGGACGGCACTGCCTAAGTGCACACTGACAGATTTCCATCTTCCTGCCTACAGGAGTCAAGCAATACTTGACTCTTTCTCCCTCCCAACTACTCTTCCTTCTGTCAGCAAATATGAGCTCAATATGGTCTTGCTGAGGGCCACCTTACTGGTGTTTCTGTGCCCACGTAAGTCCTCTCTGCTGTCTTCTCTTCTGCCTTTTGCCCTGGACCTCTGAACCTTCACAGGTCTTTGCATCCAGAAGCACCCTATGGACATGTGCCCACCTATGTGGAGAAGCCCACTGCTCTTGTAAGAACACAAGGAAGCTAAATGACCTCTTGACATCTATCCAAYGGCAATGCTCTGCTTTTATCCACAGTATAGTCTGACACATCAGTAAAATGTTAGCTAAGAAACCTTAGGACACCACTGATCGTGTATTGGATCAACTTTTTCATTACGGGAATTGCACCCAGTTCTCCAGAGCGGACTCCTGTTCCATGTTTAGATATCCTTCCTTTCTGATATGCACATTTGTAAACATCTTTTCTGTTACAGCAGAGGGATTCCCTCACAATAAGATGGACCTTGTTCAGAAAATCGTCCCYCTATACACAGCCCTGGTGAGGCCACATCTGGAGACTGTGTCCAGTTCTGGGCTCCCCAGTACAAGAGGGATGTGGAGCTGCTGGAGAGAGTCCAGCGCAGGGCTGCGAGGATGATCAGGGGCCTGGAACATCTGCCCTATGAGCAAAGGCTGAGGGAGCTGGGCCTGTTCAGCCTGGAGAAGAGRAGGCTGAGGGGGGACCTGATCAGTGTCTATAACTACCTCAAGGGAGGCAGTGAGGAGGAGGGGGCGGCCTCTTTTCAGTGGTGGCCAGCRACAGGACTAGAGGAAATGGCCACAAGCTGAGGAACCAAAAGTTCCACAGGAACTTAAGGAAACATTTCTTGAGAGTGAGGGTGACAGAGCCCTGGCACAGGCTGCCCAGAGAGGTTGTGGAGTCTCCTTCTCTGGAGATCCTCAAAACCCGCTTGGACRCAGCCCTGTGCCAGGTGCTCTAGGTGACCCTGTGTGAGCAGGGAGGTTGGACTAGATGACCTCTGAGGCCCCTTCCAACCTTAAGCATTATATGATTCTAGGATTCTATGAAAATGCCAGAGCTGAGATTCTTTTGGTTGCTCTCTCTGAAACCTGGGAGAAGGTCTTTCAGCCTCCA